CATCTCTCTCTCTCTCTCTCTCTCCCCTCCCCCCTCTTTACCACGTAAAAAAACCCTTTCTCACCACACACCATTGAACCCCAAACCATAAAAACAGAGGAAGAAACCAGAAAGAAAAATAGGAAATCAAATACTCACACACCTGAACCAGCAGAAGGAAGAAAAAATCAAGGCCTGAACAAATCGCTGCTTCCATATCTGCCCTATTCACTCAGAAGGTCGACAACAAGAAGTTGATAACATCGATTAAGGTATATTTCATAGCACTTTTAAAAATTGAGAATATATGATCTTTGATGTGAGTGTATTTAGTTTCTAATTCTAAAAATTGTGTATTTATCATATTGCTCTACTTGTTTATCCTCTCCAAAAAGTATGTAAAAATTGGTGAGATTTCTTGTTCTTGTTAACCATTGTTGTGAAGTTTGTGTTGAAAGAAGAGTGATGGGGACTGATGAATTAATGGCATGTATGTATTTTCTTTGTATTAACTAAATTGTTGCTGCTTTAATTCATGCCACACGATGACAAATGTACTGTCCGTTTCAATTGAGGCTGCTTGGTTTTTTTATTCCCATTGTGGGGATGGAGTGGGATGGGGAGGGGGTAGCGGGTGGGGGTAGGTTATCAAAGAAGGCAGTAAATTATGTGGGGAATAGAGATGTTGAAGAGAGATGCCAAAGCTTTGTTGAAACTAATAGTTAACGTCAAAGACATAGTGACAGAAATAAATAATCCAAGAATTATTTTATGTTGTGTGTACCGCACATTCTGGAATAGTATGAGATGAATAAAACTAGCAAGTGCCATAGCCTAATCTACTCAATACAGGAAATATGGATAGATAACTTAAATAAAGCTAATGATAGGCCTAATATATTCATAACTAATTAGCACCTACAAAGCTTTTCATTTAGAGGAATAACGGTAGATTTTTCAGGCGAATTTAACTATCACGTAGGTAAAATTTAGAGTTTGAGATGAATCTTGTCAAGTCTTGTCAAGGGGTGGCATACAATAAGGAGATATTTGATTCTCTACACTAGACAAGGCAATTCGTTCGAGTTTTTATTTCTTAGCTCTCTTTAAATGTGAAGTTGTCAAAAAACTGTAACATAATGAAGATCAATTATAACTTTTGAGTAGGTCCATCATCTAAACACAGATCACAATGGAAAATATAACTGTGAAAACATGCCCACTAAGGGGTATTGTACGCATGATACATCAGGAACTGCTTTAGTCTAGATAGTTTATACGACAATGTAGCCTTGCCTTTTAAACTCATGGGAATGTGTTTTCCTTGCTGATCTTTTTTAATACCCAACAGCTAAACTGACATGAATGAGTGTGCTATAATTGAACATAAGAACATAAGTGTATTTGACCCACTGGATGGTAGCTTATCATGAAGTGACTTCTTCTGAGTCGTGCATAATTAACACAAAGGACTGAACGTGTCTTCCAAGGAACCTTTTCTTAGTTCCTCTGATTGGCTCTGTCGTGAATGGACTGAATAAATATCGAAACCCACCTGCTAAAAGTGAGTCACCAAATTTATTTTCTTCATTTTCTTAATTGGAATTCAGACCTTTGATAAATTTATCTATTAAAGAATTTTCTAGGAGCACGTCCTGCAAGTTATGTAAGAATATTTTCCATGAGATTGTTGGTGATATCAATTATAGTTCCCCCTCAAAATTTTCATCTCTCTTTGCAGAATAGTCTACTTCGATTACCATCTTCTAGCTTTAACCTATGTTGTGTTTCCTCTTTACCAGTTTATCATCAACAAAATTTGAAAGTCATAAACAAATAGGTGTTCTCAAAAATGAGTACCATGGCTTCACCATTTTGTGTATTTTTTGATAGCCTTATTATAAACCAACTTTTCCACTGCAAGTTCATGCCAATGACAACACCAGTTGAAAAATTCAGATTTATGAGCTTGACTGATGAAGAATTCATGTGTGATTTGATCTTTGAGAATATTGGTCGTAATCCGCCTCCACTACTTTAAGATGGCATGATTGGATAATTCAACAAACATATGTAAAAGTATGATATTCATGTTAGTTTGGATTGCAACTCACTTTTAATAGAGATTTTTTTGTTTTTTAATTTTACTTTTTGTTCTTCTGTTCTATGTTGGACATAAGGTTGTCATTGTTTATTTGATTATCTCATAACTATTTTTTATTGGAATGAAAAGAATTAATTCTCATACATGAGTATAAATTTGAATTGGTGAGTTTGTTTTCCTCATTGTTATAAATTTTATTTTTTTCCATAACATTATCTTCAAAATACGACCTCTTCAAAAAAAAAAAAAAAACATAATAGGAGATATTACTCAACATATTTAATTGTGAAGGGACCATTACTTAGTACGTTAAAACATTGACTGACTAATTGCCATGGAAAAAATGACAAATTTCCATGGAAAAAGTGACAATTTCCATGGAAAATAGTGGTTGTCAAACAACTAAAGTTGGAAAAAAATGACTATTTCCATGGAAAATAATGGTTATCAAACACCAAAAGATGGAAAATTGGAACATTTTCTAGGTTGAAATTTAAGTCAATCAAACACGTGTAATTAACAATTTCCTTGTAAATAATTTCCAGGCAATTGAATTACCCTAAAAATATTTTCTTTCCATGCAATTTTCCTACTTGCAATCAAACGCACCCTAAATGTTATCCACCACAAACTAGAGTAACATATAAAAGTAACATGTATGTTATATGTCTGAAACAACTTCAAACCACTGTCTAGCAAAACCATCACCGCAAAATATGAGTAAAACATTATATTACTTATCTATAATCACTCCACACCACTATCTGCCACCACTACCACAAACATGAATAACGTATATGTTACTCATCTGCAACAACATTACTAACACCAGAGAACAAGAGAAACATATATATTGCCCCTCTCAAAACAACATCGAAAAATACAAGTAATATATATGTCATCTGTCTGAAATCACCCCCTACTCTCGTCAAAAAATGACCATCGCCTTCTGTGCTACAATATTTACAATCATTTGGCATTTCTAACATGAAATAAAACTCAACATCACATCAACAATGAGACATTCACCATTACTATTATTGACACAAAATTGTCACCATTATTCGGCATGGAAATTTCAAATCTACATATATCGGATATTTGGTTTTGGGACAAAAACAAGAAACTAGGAGGAGTAAATTTTGGTGGCGATGAATAGAGGCCGAAGAAAAGCTGTATCCGCACAATCACAGACTTTAAAATTTGAAGGAATTCGAAGTTACATAGAACCACATCAATACTTTCCTCACTAATAAATTAACGTAATATTATTTACAAATACTAATGTTTAACACCAGTTTATGTGACAACACTTGTATCACTAAATTATAACTTTAATTAAATATAAGGATTTATGACTTATTAATATGACCCATAATATGTTGATACCTAGATCGATGTTCATAGCTAGGATTGGGCGAAAAAAAAAATCAAAAAATCGACCAAACCAAACCTACTTGAGCTGGTTCAAGTTAGTTTACACATATTATTGGTTTAGTTTGGTTTTTTTTTTTTTTTTTAAACAAAATCATGTTAGGTCAGTTCAACCATAGTTTGAAACCTCAAATCGCTGGTTAATCAAACTAACCCAATCTACTTTACATATTTACCTTTTTTAAGAAAAATAAAAATTAAAAAAGCCCTAATCTAATAACTATATCTCGATTTCCTCCAATATATGATGTTACCGATAAGTAATAGCACTGTAAATTTCCTTTCTCAAGCTCATTATGTTATACTTAACCCTTTTCCATACTCAGGCAGTTAGGCTACATAATGTATTAAAAAAAATTCTTAAATTTGTTGTTAATCCGTCTCTATTTACCTAATTTTATTAGTTAGTTAATAGTTCTTGTAATATAAAAGAAGTTAGTTATTTTTCTTTAATCTAAGTGGGCCTAAAATTCGGACATTTTTTTTTTAAAAAAAAATCAATTTGGACAAAAGTCCAAATCAACTAACCGAACCAAATCAAACCGATTTTGTTTGGTTTGATTCGATTTAAGAGGTAGAGCATGTTGGTTTAGGTTGAAATTCACTCAAAGTGACTAATTTGGTTTTAGTTTCGGGATGGAATTAAAATCGATTCAAATCAAACCGCGCCCAAACCTATTTATATCAATGGCACTAGATATTTTTATTCAAATGTTTTACATCAAATTAAGAATTCAATCTTTAATATCAGACAAAACATTTTCTTTTGGGGTGTTGGTAATTTTTCCAATAATTTGTACCCTAGAATAATGAAATATGGATAGGGGACTAAGAATTTTATACTATAAATTCCATTTCTCGATACAAACTTGTTGTAAACGGATAATAATAGCATGAAAAGTTTGATGTAATTTTTTTATAAAAATAATCAAAAAGGAGTTAATTGAAAAGAATAATTATGTATCAGTAAGCCAAAATTTTATAAATGCAATTTAAATGAAAGGAATATACCACATTGCATAGAAACATGTTCATGGTAATTAAAGTCATACACTCTGGAGTTGGTAGTATAGATTTTGAAGGAGTAAAAGATGCCAAAGATGGACCAAAGAGAAGAATTTAGAGCAAAATCACTTGTTGGCCACCAATGGAGTGCTCGAGCTCTCACTGCAGGAACATGATCGCTTGCTAGCCGCCTTCCTATAGCTGGAGCGACAGGCTTACCACTCGATAGCCACCTGGTTGGCGCTCAAGCAGTGTTTATCTGACAAAACCCTAATCTGCATAAACAGCTTATTTTATAGCCCTAAACCACCTCAAACACTCCATATTATAAATTTTTAAACCATATTTCGTCTCAAACTATCTCTGTTAATTTAATTCTGCCATTATTCATTCAAGAGAATATCCTACAAAGATCAAACATCAATTCCAATAATCTCTTGACTCAACCACAAGATCAAAACATAAAAGATCAAAGATCAAACACCAAAAAACCTTACTTTTGCCTATAAGTCTTTAGAGTTCCAAAGTTGGAAAAGAAACAGCTGGAGTTCCAAGTGCTACCGAACGAATTCATTCCTGTTGATCCACGCAAAGGAAAATGTAGCTTAGAGTTGTTGGGAAGTGTGGGTCTCACAATTGAATAGTTTTTCAATGATTTACAAGTTGGGAGCCAGAGTCCACTAAAATTTAATTGTATCAAAACCAACTTTAAGTTGGTTTTTCTAGTGGATCTTTTTGGCAAGATTGGTCTGAAAATTTTTTATCCCCGTGAAAAAGATCTTCAGAGGATTTTCCTTCGTTATCAATAATTGGTGTTATTTAATTAGGGTTTAATATTGATTAAATTTAATAATTATCTAGAGACAATAATTTGTGATGTGTTGGTTGTTATTGTTTTAATTACACATATTTGAATCTAAACGACGTGTGTGTGTGTGTGTGTGTGTGTGTGTGTGTATATATATATATATATATTTCTAACAATTGATATATATTTCCAAGTTAAAGAATTTAATAGAAATTGTTCAGAATTATGAATGGAGATGTTAGATATAATTTGTTTTCTACATGAAAATTGAACTTCCTACTTAAAAAATTTCAAAATACTGTTTTTAGTAAAACTGAAAAGATTTTATATAATAAAATAAATTTCTTACGTATCCAATCAACACAAGAGATGAATATATTGAAAACTAAGCCCTTTTTTAATAAGACGTTGATAAAAAAAAATCATAATGAGCTAAATGAGCAGCATCGCCATCCACTTGTAAGATATCAAATAGAGGGATTATAATAACTTTTCAATTAATCAAAATTGAATTTTTAACCACATATTTTATGGAACCCACAAATATTTTCAATTTGTTAACTACATATTTTATTAATTTTTATCAAAATTTATTAAATTTTTTTAAGAAAAACTTTACACCACATGCAGCCTCCAAAGAAACTAACTAGCATATAACTAACAATGGAAAGGGAAAAAAAATGGTAGATGTCTTAATTATCGCTAAATTGATTTATTCGAAATGAGGCACAACATATGCTTTCCAACATTCAACATCTCAGAGAAATCCTACTTCAGCCCATATATTTACAACCTTAACCTGTATATCACGAGGGCATATCTCACGTGGGACAAATATGAAAAAAATAAACAACCTATAGACATTTTAAAATAAAATAAAGTTTTAGTATGATATTAGAGTTCATTAAATTCAAACAAACAATTCGATCGGACTAAGATTCAGACATTGATCTCCTCATCTTAATTAGATTGATATTTAAAGATAGAACATCATACTTCCCATTGCTGATTAAAGTTAATTCGAGGACTATTTTGTGTGCTCAATGTCAAGACAAAATGAATTCTTTCTAAAACCTCCTTCTCACTCGATCACACAAATAAACTTCGAGTAATTTATCTATAAGCAAAGAAAAATCTAGATCAAGGAGGAGTTCTAAAACATCCTCAAGCTTCACACTACAGGTTTCAACTTCGCGACAGTTATTGTTAGTAATAGAACTCCTACAATTTTAAGTGGGATAGAAACTATAATTCTTTCTACTTCTCGAGGTATAATGACAGGCCGAGAGGCTCGCCTCTCTTACTTTACAGTGCAAGCTAAATGAATTAGACATATTGATTATTGAAGGTCTTGACTCTAGCTAAAGATACTAAATCTTGAGATTTTGTTTTATTTCATTTTTTTATTTTCGAATATAGGCCCACGTGAAGTATACGTTTCTAAACAAGCTATCAAACTTTTGGCCCTCTAAGAAAGAAAGGCATCTTAAAAACAATACTTATCCACATCAACAGCCATTTCTTATGATTTTATTGGTAATGACATCATTTGGAGGACAATGGGGTCACTCTTAAGTTTGCATTATTGCTTCCTTTTTTGGTTTGGCATGCATATTATTGTCAAGATTCTTGCCTTAAGATTCTCATTCCATTGGTTAGAGTATTCTTCTTCAAAAGATTTCTTTGATACTTGTGATAATGTAACTTTTATTATAGGCTTGATGCCATATTTTATTCTAATGAAGATTCTAGCCTAGTCGCAATAAACACTAAGAAGTGTGTAATTTATACTAGAAACATGTTATTCATGTTGTTTCCTTTTCAAATAATTCAATCTTAATACAAGTCACATCAATAGGGTCGACTCTGAGAATTTGTGTGACATGTACAAAATTTAAAAGATTTCGCGTATTTCATTTTATTAATAAGCGTGCATGCGGAAAGATAAATCAATATATTAATTTATTAAATATAAAACTACAACTATAACAAATATATTTTCCAT